ATAATAATCTAAATTTAGCAAAAATCAATCACATTTTATGTACATATTATGTATTTGCATATGTCCGTGGTCTCTAGCTCCAATAGCTTACTATGATCGTACCAACAGATAACTTGAATTATTTGATGGTGATTGCGTAATCATCATCAAATAACGAAGTTATTTGGTGATGACACAATCACCATCAAATAACTCGAGTTTTCTGATGGTTCGGTCGTCGTAAGCCATCGGACAATACCGTTATTGGATGCTACGTAGCCAATAACTTGTTTATCTGGCTGCGAATTTAATATTGTCATTTCTGGGCCCCTTGGGACCCAGAAGCTGACATATTAAATTTCACAACCAGATAATGAATTAATTTACAAATAATTCCGTTATTATCCAATTTAACCAGAAATGACCGCATATGGCCGAATTGACCAGATAATTTGCAAGATAGATAAACAGATGACCAAATCTGAATATTAGCATATTCCTAATATAGATCCCTACTATAAATTAGTGGAATAGGGATTTCAAAATAATCTAAAAAGAAAAATCAACAAAATTAATTTAATTAAGCAGTATTTGGCTGATTTATCCCTACCGATCAGAGACCTCGGATTTTTGTAGCATGCTATTTTTTAGCAAAATAGCTAGCAACAATTGTCTTGCGCTAAGATGCGAAATTTGCTACTTTTGCTCTAAGCATGTGATTTTACCTTTGTTCTTGAACTGATTTATGTAAACGAGTAATTATATGCATATTTTAGATGATGACCGAAGAACTCACCGAAATGATAAATGAAGAACTCGCAGATGATTACATTAAAATTTATACTTATAAATATAAATTTATAATAAGCTATTTTGTTAAATTTGCTAGCTAAATTTGCCAGCTATTTTTGCTATAAACGTCCGGGGTCTCTGCTACCGATCTATAAATTATGTAGGCAACTTAACCTACGTAGGTTGTGTGTAAATTTTGGAAAATTTTTAATTTCCATAATTACTAAGCACTTCGATCGTGCATTCTAAAAGGATTTTTGCTTTTCTCGATTATTCTATAAAATTTTTTTTAAATGTATTACCCATATTTATTCTAAAGACTGTATGGTACATATTATAAAGAAATTTTCTTGTTTGTTTTCTTTTGTTTGGGTTTTTTATCATGCATGAAATAAATAATGCGTATGATTTGAAAAATACGTACGTACGCATTTTCCCATTTCCATTTATTAATGTTTCACATAATCAAGAAAGTTCGAATGCAGTTTAATGTTATACAATACTTGATCATTGGTTAATTCATTGTAAATAATCATGTGATAATAAAATCGATGTTACTGACATAATTTCAGATACATACGTAATTAGTGTTATATTCATTAACTTTAACAGGTTAGCTGACTCTGGATTGAAATTTATCGCTATGCGCCCTATATTTATTTATATTTGATCGGAAGGAATACGATTATTACCGATAGTTAGAAAGGTTTACCGTATTATTGTGCTACCTTGAATTATTGGAATTTTATAACTCCTTTCTTTTATTAATTGAATTAAAGACATACACATTTAGGTCTTTATAAAACCTGATCCTCCGGGGAAACTTCGGAGTTACCGCGTCAACTTTACGCAGCCTAATATAAAAAATAAAAATAAACAATAACACAAGACAATCTGATTAAATTTGCCAGTAAAATTCGATTATTTAATTATTTAGAAATAAACTTGTCTCACCGTTACACATTAACAACACATAACTTTATTGAAATCTTATCCTGATCAAGAAACTATTTAATTATTTACAATATTACTACACCAAATCTCTATCAAGAATTATATATATATATTGATGATAGTTATTCCGCAGCAACATAATTATATTAAAGGTTAGACCTGTATTAGAAATTGTTTAAAGCATTATAAAATGAAAATCAATTCCAAAAAAATCGGCGTATATTTTTACAGACAAAAGATTAAAAACAAATGGACTATTAGTTTAAGTACTTGAAAATTTTCATTGAGAATGACCATTTCATATTAATTCGTTACGAAAATATTTTCCGACATCGGACTTTAAACTAATTACTCTAAATTACTCACTTCCGAGAAAAAATTAAGTTTTATGTGCTAATCGAAATTTTAGCGTACACGTAGATACGCAGGTACTACTAAAACAACTCTTAATTTAGCAATCAATAAAAAAAGTCACTGTACTCTAGAATAACTTCGGTATTTCGGGTGCATTAAAATGCCGATATCCGTATTTTATTATAATCAATTATGCAAGCATGAAACCATTTAGGACGATTGTAATTATACTTATATAATTAGTCATAGTTAGTAAACTATGATAAAAAAATATATATATAAAACTAACGTTCATTTTAGTTTGTCCAACGAACATATATTTTGGAATTAACCATGAATTTCTTGATTTCCCTATTGATCGTTGCTATCCTGTTTATAATTTACAAACTCTACAGTCTTGTGAACCCTAAAGAACCAGATGCTCTTAAAGGCATTCACTCGATTACATTCGTTGGTTTAATGTTATCGGCGATTAGAAATCCAGAAGGAATGGATAAGTTTTACTTACGTTATAAAGAATATTTTGAAAGGGACGGTCTTGTAAAGGTAAATTTTATTGTATATAAATTGCAAAAATAATGTAACTAACATAAAAAAAGCTTATACTTTATACTGTATATTTATAGCTTCATTTTAAAGGAAAATGGGTTTGCATGATATCTGATCCAGCAATTGCTAAGGATGTATGTTTACGATCTGGTATGTCATGAATCATTTGACATCTCTATTAAATCTTCTATTTACTGATATATTATTTCATAGATGCTTTTCCAAAGTTAATGTTAGATGAAATCATGGCCGGATCTGTGGCTGAACGACATTTTGGTGTAAATGTTGTTCATTCAAATGGTGATGTAAGTCTTGTTTTATCATTTTATTGCTGTATTGTATAAATTATTTTGACCAATTTCTTTATTACATTTTTTTTATATTAGGTGTGGAAACGACACAGGTTTTTCTTGCATTTTATTTATTTATCATTAATTTGTTTATTTGCTAATACAATACAATATAATTTACTTAGACGTGCGTGTAACCCTGCATTTAAGGCTTTACCAGTGCACCTTTTTGTTGAAAAGGGGTTAGAGATGATGGAAGTTTTAGAAAAGGTCGATAATAAGCCTATTGAAGTCAATGACATTATGCAAAGGTAATAAAGATGTTCTTTACAAGTCTTGTCATTTATGTTAATTCATTAAAATTTATAAATTCAAAATTTCATAGGTTGACTTTGGACGTCCTTGGAAAAGCTTCTTTTAATTTTGATTTTAATGTAAGAGCAAATAAAAATAATATATACTATAAATATTGTACAATTTAAATTTTAACAGATTTTCAAATTAGAATCTTCAAGATCCGCATAATGTCTACGTAACAGCTTATAATGAAGCTCAGAATGTGTTTAGAAATCCATTTTATTCTATTTTTCCAGTTGAACGCATTCCGATTTTAAGACGGCTAGTATTTAGTAAAGTTGATAGATTAAGTAATTTATTTGAGGATATTATTAAGGAAAAACGCAAATCTTTAGCGGCTGGGCAATCTAATGGAGATCTTTTGGAACATATGATAAAGGCTTGTGAAGATCCTGATAATCCAACTTTATCAGATGTTGAACTAAGAGTAAGTGACTATATATTGAGATACATAATCTAAATAGTAAAATTTTAATATCATGTTTTAATTTTAACAGCATAATTTAGCCATTTTTATGGTGGCAGGCCATGACACAAGTAAATATTACATTAGTTCTAAAAAATCAGTTTATAACTTTTATTTAACACTTATACCTTTTTTTTCCCCTATGAATTTAGCCGCAACTGCTTTATCATCTCTTTTATATCTTTTAGCAGTTCATAAAGTAAGACGCATAATAATATAATAATAATGATATTATTATTATGATTATTATTATGATTATTAATATTATTATTAATATTCTCTAGGATGTTCAAAGGAAAGCCCGTGAAGAGGTCTTAAAAATACTTGGTGATGATCTAACACCATCGGCAGAACATCATGCGTCATTAAAGTATTTGAATATGATTATTCGTGAAAATCTTAGATTATACCCTCCAGTTAGTATTATTTTAATTTTAATTAGTATTAAAATCAGTAACTATACAACTTACAGTATAATTTATTTTTAATGCGTATAGGTTCCATCTTTAACATTACGTGTATTAACCGAAGATTTAAAATATAATAAATTTTTGATTCCAGCTGG